CCTTTGTGTGTGTGTGCACAAATGTATGTGTGTAATTACTCTCTGGCAAGAAAGAAAATCTGACTGGAAGCCACCTCTGTGAGTCTGTTGGTGGGGCAGGACCCTGATTTCAGTGACCCTTCACTGTGGGATTGGCAAGGTTTCAAAGGAACGAGGATGGTGTGTCCAGTGTCTCGTCCGGAAACAGGAGGGGCACGGGGTCGTTGTCTGTGCGCAGGTCTCTACACGGTGGACGAGGGGCCGTGCCTTGGATTTTCTGCCCCTAGAAGTTTTTACAAGTACAAGTGTCTTTTGCAAAAATCCTGCCGTGGCTGGCTGCTGTCTCGAGGAGCATCAGCTCTCTGACTGTTGCTGCTCTGTTCCCATCTCAGTGGTTCCAAAACTGAGTCGTGTGCACAGGCTCCTGTGGTCAGGTGTCCTGCCCCCCGCTGAAGACCCTCGGGCCCCTTGGCCGTCACCTGCTGGCTTCCTTTTTCATGGTCTTCCCCGCAGCCACAGGCACGCATCACATAAACGTGTCTGGCCTCCTCCCTTGTGGCTGGCACCGGCACTGGCACGGGCTGGGTGCCGTCTCAGTCCTGAGGAGGAGTCGTGTGCCTGGAAATGAAGCAGGACTGGTCAGGGGAATGCAGATCAGAGCCACAGCGAGACGCCCCCTCACAGCCACTGGGACGACCAGAACCACACCAGACAGCAGTAAGTGCTGCAGACCGCGGCCCTGACCCCTTGTGCCCGGCGGCGGGCACGGAAAATGGAACAGCCGACTGGAGAGCAGCTTGGAGGCTCCGCAAACTATTAAAACAGAGTTTCCGTCTGACCCAGCAATTCCACTCGTAGGACTGTGCCCAAGAGAAATGAAAGCACGGGTCCACACAGAAGCATGTGCACAGGTGTCCAGAGCAGCATGAGTCCAGTAGCCCAAAGGTGGGAACAACCCAAGTGTCCATCCACAGGTGAATGGACAGACAAATGTGGTCCATCCACATGGTGGAACATGATGCAGCCATGAAGAGGAGTGAAGCTGTGACACAGCCACACCGTGGACAGACCCTGAACACACGACGCTCAGTGAGAGAACCAGACACAGAAGGACAAATACAGTAAAATCCACTCACATGAGGTACTTAGAGTAGTCCAATACAGAGAAACAGTGGATTTGTGGTTGCTGGGGGCTAGGGGAAGGGGAGAGTGGGGAGTGACTGCTGATGGGGACGGGTTGCTTTCTGGGGTGGTGGAATGTTCTGGAATTGATGGTGGTGATGGTTGCCCAGCTCTGCTGATATAAACCATGGTTCAGTAAAAGCCACTGCACTGTTTCCTTTGAAAGGGCGAGTTGTGTGGTACGGGATTTATGTCTCGTTAACGTAAATAACGATAAACGAGGGACTCAGACACGGAAGCACGCGGCCTCCCCGCTCGCTCAGGGGAGTGCGGGCATTTCTTGTAGGAAGTTCCGCTCTCCCCAGGATGTGCCCTGCCGGGGCCCTGGGGGGAGGGGCCGGGGTGGCTCAGCAGAGGAAGGCTGTGGTCCAGCAGGGTTTTGTATTGAGCAGCAAACTTGAGATTACGATCCATTTACGTAGATGTGCCTTCAGGCGAGACCCCGGGAGCATCTGGAGGCGTTCTCTCCCGTTTCCAGGTGCGCACGCCCCCCGGGGCCTGGTGCATCACATTCCCTCCTGGGTGGGCCTGGCTGCCGTCCCCCAGGCCGGGTCCCCCTTGCGCATTCTGGGCTGTGCCCAGTGGGGTAGAGGGTGCCATCGGTGGAGCGGGAAAGGTGGGGATCCCCGGAGACCCCCCACTCCGTGTCCAGCCCCTGCTCCTAACAGACACGCCCATCGCACCTTCTCAGCCCTCTGGTCCCCGGTGCCCACCAGAGCGGCGGCCCCCGAAGCAGGCCGGGGCCTGCCCTTCCTGACATAGGCAGCCAGAGAGCACGAGTCTGGGCCGGGACTGGGTCCTCCAAGCGCCCGCCCGGCCCAGAGCGGAGTAAGCCCCTTAGCTGGGGGGGTCCACCTGCTGCCCGCCTCTCGAGGCTCCCTTCCCCCGTCCCGCGTCTCCTCGAGGTGGGGTGTCGGGCTCCGGAAGCTCCCTGGGAGGAGAGTGACACGCTCGGAGTCCATTACAAATTCTACGGCATGCTCTTCACAGATGATAGTGAAACATGCAGACCTCTTGTGGATTCCGCGGAGCCCGCTAGTTTTCAGGATGCCCATGTCGATGTTCCAGATTCTTCTGTCAGCGACCAGCCTGGGTTCCACGCAAACCTCGGTTGATAGGTTTTGCTTTAAGGACCGAGACCTAAAACAGAGCAGCCAACAGTGTCGCGTCCTGGGGGAACGCCTCTGCAGGGTTTGGTGCGGGTCCCCTCGTGACAGCTCCACCACGGCCCCTTCTCAGTCGTGTTTGCTGGGGTAGCCGCTTCCTCACGTGGGGTCCAGCAGGGCGGGGACGGGCCGTGATCTGCAGCCCTGCCGGGTTCTGAGGGTGTGCCCTCCCCAGGGCTGCAGGCAGAGTGGGGAGCAGTCAGTGTGCCATCATCCGTGTCTCACCCGGACAGGATGGATGGAGATGACCCTGGACGTAGATACAGTGACCCACGGTGAAGCGGGGGGCGGGGGGGGGGGCGGGTTCCAGTATTTGTTACCTTCGTTTTATTGTAATTATTTACTTGGAAGTTTACATCCGTTTTCATCGCCACTGTTTGAGGTCTACTCCCAGATCCCCGACGTCCAACAGTCGTCCCCACAGGTAACCGGTCACAGGTGAGGAGGTAGCCTGGCCCCTCATGTTTGAAATTCCAGGACAGCTGGGGGGTGGGTGGCCTGCTCCCCGCTACCAACCTTGGCCCCAAGCCCCTGGTTCACAGCCCACCCCCCTCTGAGTGAGGCTCCTATTGGCCCAGCTGCTGCCAGGCCCTGGAGAGGGCAGGCCGAGTCCCTGCAGCGACGCCTCAGGCTCGGCCTCTCGTGAGCCGATGGGGATGGAGACGGATGGGCAGCTGCCTGGAGCGGGGAGACTGGGGCTCCCGGGGCGAGAGGTCACTCTGGGCTGGGCTGGGCGTCTCTGCTCTGAGCATGGTGACTAGTGTGTCCTTTGCACACCATGGAGGGTGCTGTTCTCAGGCTGGGGTGGGCCGGACCTCCAGCCGCTGTGCTGGGTGATGACCGCCAGAAGGACTGCATGGAGCCACGTTCAGACGGGCAGGCGGGCGCTGTGGGGGACCCGGCAGCCAGATGGCCATCCCCTGCCCGGAAGTTGGGCTGGCGGCTCACCAGGGAGAGCCGCCGGGAGAGCGCCCGCAGCGTTGGAGCCGGGCCCAGGGTCCCGTCGGGCCAGGACTCTGTGGTGGGTTCTCGGGGCTGAAGTGTCCGCACAGATCGTTCTCGTCATTGGGAGATGTGAGCGAGTCCCCTGCCTGCCCGGGAACATGGGGTTTGGCAGCTGTGGGCCTGAGCTCCTGCCAGGCGGCCAGGATGGGACCAGCCCCAGCCAACCCTCAGGCGGTGGGCAGTCTGCGTGGACAGCAAGCCAGGGAGGGCGTATATACACGTGTGGGGTGTGCATGCACGTGTGTGGGTGTGTATGGTGTGCGCAAGTGAGGACAGAAGAGTGTGCACGCATGCGTGGCTGTGTACGTGTCGGGGAGTGCACACCTGTGTATGAGCACGGGAGGGTGTGTGTGTGCACCATGCCGCTGGATCCTTTGCATCTGTGGTCCCACATCTCTGTATGTGTGTGGCGGGGGATCTCCTCTGTGGAGCACCCCCGCCGCCTCTGGCTCCCAGGAGCCCAGGGCCGACAGAGGGCTCTGTCCCTGGTGTGCTTCTCAGAGGCCCTCTCTCTCGTGTCCCCATCGCCAGCCCCAGGGCCCCGCTTCTGCCTCAGGGTGGGGGCAGTCCCAGGTCATGGGTTGAGGGGTGTCACGGCGTCTTGAGTCTGAGCAGCGGGCTGACTGGCTGGGATGGGGATGGGGGCAGGTTCAGGGAGGGCCTATAGATGCAGGGTGGGTCAGAGGGAGGGGGCTGGGGCTGCACGCAGACCCTGGGTTGGTTCTCAGGGTGCCCACCCTGTGTCCGGCCCGGCTTGGATGGCTGGCCCCTCCCTGTGTCTTGGGGGACTGCTCAGGCGCCCACCATCCCCTCTGCAGCCTCTTCCTGCCCCGTCGCTCTTTTTTTTTTTTTTTTAATTTTATTTATTTTTTTCCCCAAAGCCCCAGTAGATAGTTGTACGTCATAGCTGCACATCCTTCTAGTTGCTGTATGTGGGACACGGCCTCAGCATGGCTGGAGAAGCGGTGCGTCGGTGCACGCCCGGGATCCAAACCCGGGCCACCAGCAGCGGAGCGCGCACACTTAACTGCTAAGCCACGGGGCCGGCCCAGCCTGGTCGCTCTTTGCCAGCCTTGCTCTTGCCACAGTGGCCAGTCACCAGCTGACCACAGGGTCACAGGCTCCTGGAAGTGGACTGGGGACTCTGACGTCCCGGGGTCAGGGGACAACTTGGAGGTCCCCAAGGTCTGTGTGGGCCTGTCTCCCAGCCTCGGGCGCTTTCTGCTCTGCCATCTGTCACCTTCCCTCTTGCGAGGAGTGGCCCTTGGGCTTGGGGAAGGGAGCCGGGTGGCTCCCCTGTCTCTGCGCCCAGGCATGGGGCTCCCCTCCTGGCTCCAGGGTTCCAAGGCCTCGCTCGATTGGCGTCACCCCTCCTCGCACCGTCCTCGAGCAGTGTTGTGGACGGTCACACGACAGAGCGTTCACGGCACCTTGACATGTGGGCTTCACAAGGGCCTGAGTCACCCGCTCCTCTGTCCCTCAGAAGGTCACAGGTTGCTCTTGCGCCTTCAGAGATCTTTCCAGAATGCTGTCTCACTGCATGAGTTCCCCTGCGGTGTCGCCCTCAGTTAACACCGCCCTCCCGGGTCCCCCTGCCGGGCTGCGTCGTGGGTGAGGGATCAGGTGGGGGGTCACAGCCTTCTAACCCTGCCTCTGTTTCTTCACCAGCCAGGAGCCACGAGATTTGAGGCGGCGGGACCTGTCAGCAGAATATGTCCTCGCCCTGCGCACGACCCCGAGGCCACCGAGATGAGCGCCGAGGCCTGGCCCTCGCGGGCGCCTGTGTCTCACTAGCCGGGAGTCCACCGGCCGCCATGGTGTACTAGCCCCGCAGAGCCACCCGCGACCTCAGGTCTCCACAGACCCGGGATTTGCACGGCAGCAGAGTCACCGTGGAGAGGCCAGGGTACCACAAACTGATGGATTTTGACAAGAAAGGAGGGAAAGGGGAGTCGGAGGAGGGCCGGAGAATGTCCAAGGCCGGCGGCCGGACCAGCCACGGCGTCCGGAGCACGGGGACCAGCTCAGGGGTCCTGATGGTGGGCCCCAACTTCCGGGTCGGGAAGAAGATAGGCTGTGGCAACTTCGGGGAGCTCCGGCTAGGTGAGCCCCACTCATTTGCATTCAGGGGGCGGGGGGAAGGCCGCCTGATGGGTCGCAGCCACACGCAGACGGCCCCCAGATTGTCGGGACCGGGAACGCAGGTACGTGTGTGCGTGTCCACTCCTTGAGGAGGAGGTTGTGTGGGAGCCCGGCCTCGTCCTGCGTGTGTGAGAGACAGCTCTGCTGGGGGGTCCGGGCCCTCGCACGGGAGGGCCAGCACGGAAGGGTCCGGGTGCATCTGCAGGTCCAGCACTTGGCTGTCGGGGCTGTGGGCGACCCCAGGCTTGGGGATTCTGAGCTAAAAGGTGCTTGAGGGCTGGGGGCCAACCTCTGTCTGCTGGTGGGAGGGGCACAGGGCAGGCGCTGGGCTGTCACCTTCAGTGATGGAGACTGCCCGGGCACGGGAGCGATGGCGCCCTCCCCAGAGCATGGGGCCCACACGCCCAGCCCGGCCTGCCCAGCAGAGCGGCCGACTTCAACTTCCCCTGGACGGAGCTTCCTCCACCCGCCCAACTGCCCTGTTAGGACATGTGTGTGTGCACACAGACACACGTGAACACACATAATGTGTGCGCATGCCCCCCGGGCCCAGAACTCACCTGCAGCCTGAGGGTCCCTGTATGGCTTTGGGGATGCTGACGGCCATCATGGGTCATCCTCGGGTGTCCGGAGCGGCAGCCTCAACAGTGCAGGTCTGTGTGGACAGACGGGAGAGCATGCACAGGGGGCCAAAGGCGGGTAACTGCTTTTAGCTGAAAACGTTTTTTTTTTTTTATAATTTTATTTATTTTTTCCCCAAAGCCCCAGTAGCTAGTTATATGTCATAGTTGCACATCCTTCTAGTTGCTTATGTGGGACGCGGCCTCAGCATGGCCGGAGAAGCGGTGCGTCGGTGCGCGCCCGGGATCTGAACCCGGGCCGCCAGCAGCGGAGCATGCGCACTTAACCGCTAAGCCACGGGGCCAGCCCTGAAAATGTTTTTAAAATTGGGGTGTGTGTTTTTCCGGCCTGGCGTCTTTGCTCAGCGTGACCTTGAAAGTGTCCGTGTTGTCCTGGGTGCTGGTGGCTGGTCGCCCTGTCACCCTGTCCACTTCTACAACCGCACCCCGTTTTTTCACCCGCTCTCCTGCTCAGGGACCTTGGGCTGTGCCCACGTCTTGGCTGCTGTGAATAAAACTGCCCTGAGCGTCCTTTTCTGGGTCTCGTGGATGTGTGTTCTCCTTAAAGCGCTGGGTCACGGCGGAGGGTTGTGCTTGTGAGAAACCGCCAGACTGATCCCAAAGCCGTCGTTCTCTCGCAACTCCCGCGGGCGCAGGAGAGTCCTGGGTGTCCCGCGTCCTCGCCAGTGCTCGGGGTTGCCAGGCTTTTCCGTTTGGGGCGTGTTAGTGGGTGTGAGGTGGTGTCTCACCTCGAGTTTTATTTGCATTTCCCTGATGACTAATGTTGAACGTTGTCGTATAGCATGTCTATTTTCTGGTTGTTTTAGATTTTCTTTTTATCTCTGGTTTCAGATTTTGGTTCTGCCTTGTTCTGGTCCGGTTTTCTTTGGTGTTTATCCTACTTGGGGTTCATTGAGCTTCTTGAGTCTTTTTCAAGAACACTGACACTTTTTCATTAAATTTGGAAAAACTTAGCCATTATCTCTTTAAATGTGTTTTCTGCCTCAGTTTACTCTCTTCTCCGACTCCAGTTACATCTTGTTTGGAGGGTTGGGTGCCATCCCTCAGGTCCTTCGAGCTCTCTTCAGTTTTCTCTCAGCCCCTTTTCTCTCTGCTGCAGCCTGGGGAGTTTTTATTGCCCTGTTGTAAGGTCACTCTTCTTTTCTGCAGTGTCCAGTCTGTCACGGGAGCCACCCGGGGCATTTTTCATTTCTCACACGGTATCTTGTCTTCACTTGCCTCCTCTTTCTCTCTGGGCATTGCCACCTGTTTGTTCATTTTGCCCCTTTTCCTCTAAGTCCTTGAACAGACTTATAGCACACGGTGCCTCTGACTGTTGCTCCCTGTCACAGTCCTGTTCTCCTCCTTTCTCACGTGTCTGGTGACATCTCACTGTATGTTGGACAGCGTGGCGGTGGCACGGGAAAGTCTGCATTGCCCTTCGACCTGGTGGCTCGTCTCAGTTCCCTCGGGGACCGGTTTCTGGCTCCGTTAGGGCGGGCTGAGGGCCGATGTTCCTCAGGGGCTAGAGTCGCCCCTCGCCCAAGCTGTGGGCTTCCTGGGTCCTCCGCCGAGTGTCGGCAGAGTTCAGGGAGGCCTGCCTGCCCGGATGGCTGCAGCTCCAACGTCTTCCTACCTCATGCGGCTCCGGAATCTTCCTTCTGCTCACATTCCCTGGGGGGTTGTGCTCGCAGGCTGTGCAGACTCTCGCCGCCTGCACACACAGCTAAGACTGCTGATGTGGGTGGTGGTGAGGCTCTCAGAGCCCAGAGCACATGAACTCCCCTGGGAGCCCATAACTCCACAGACTTCAGAGGCCTGTGTGTACGTGTATGCATGCACACACACACACACACACACACACACACACACACACACACTCATGCGCACTCACCTTAACCTCAGGTTGGACTCCAAGGACTCTGGCTCTCCCAGAGCTTAAAACAGGAGGTTTCTTCCACAAGACACAAAATAAAATTACCAGTCACCATGAAGGATCAATTTGCCGTCATCAGTGTTTAAAACGTCTGCTTCGGGGAGCACTGCCCAGCGTGAACGGGTGAGCCGCAGGCTAGAGGAGGTATTGTCAGAGCACCGACTGGCAGAGCGCCGGGACCAGGAGACCCGATGGGATGAGGCCCCGATCGTGAAAGGACAGACAGTCCACCTCCAAACGGGCCAGAGACTGGAACGGCGCTTCATGAGAGCAGACAGATGCTGGCCCATCTGGCCCCGTTCACGCAGCTCTGCTTGTAGTGGAATGCCAGAGACCACCCAGCGACCCCTGTGAACAGGGTACGTACCCCTGATGGGACACGGTACCACTCAGCAGTGAACAGGAATGAGCCACGGATACGCCACAACACGGGGGATCTTGACTGCATTGTGCCCTGTGGAAGGAGCCAGGGAGGAGAGGATGTGCTGGGCGACTCCATGGTGGGGGAGTGTCTCTCGGAGGTGAAGGCTGGGACCGACCCAGAGGGGCAGTGACCTTCTCTGGGGTGGGGTGGCCCAGGTCACGCACTGGCCCAGGCTCATCATGTGTACTGCAGATGCGTGCGTTCCACAGGTACGTGGTGCCTCCTGAGGGAAGGACAGGGACCGTGAGTACTACTGAACTTGGTCTGAGGCTGGAGCGTTTCGGGGGCGGGGGGCCGAGGTCGGCAACTTCGAGATGCGTCTAAAGATAAGAGCGTGATGGGTGATGGACACGCAGATATATCAGCAGCAGAACAGACAGCAAATCGTCAATTGTGTGATGTAGGCGGTGAGCTTCCGGGTGTGCATGGTTCTGTTTCTCTGTGTGTTTGCAACTTTCCTAATAAAACGTTGGGGGGGACACAAGAGGCACCCCTCTTGTTTATCAAACCCAGGAACCAGGACTGGAAGGGAGCTTTCTTCCTTGCTCACGAGTGTCTGAAGAGCCTCGTGGTTACCGTGGAGCCTGGGCGCCTGCGCTCGCCCCTGCAGGCCGGGGGCAGGAAACGGGACCCTTGTAAAGGGAGAGAGACTGGAAGGAAGAACAGCACATGGTCCCAGGCGCACGACGGTGCCGTGTGAGGCCAGGCTCGTCTCCATGAGCAGTTAGTGGTGAAGGGTTCGGCAGGGCCGCTGGGTGTACCGGCATGGAGATCGGCTGTGTTTCTCTACTCCAGCACCTGACAACTGGAAAGGATACGTTTGAAACAATACGCTCACACGAGCTCCAAAGTCCACCCAGCACCTCTGGCTTGGATCTGAAGGGTGTAGAGCTGCCCACGCTGACAGCCACGGGGCACTGGAGAGAAGCCTCGTCCCTTCTCTGGGGTGGATGTGACAGGTCTGTGTTAGATGTCACTGCCTTGAGTTCTATGGACTCGATGACACCACAGCAGGGTTCTGGGGAGACTGACAAGCGGACTCCACTGCCCTGGACACCACGGCCTCAGCATAGCCCAGACAGAGCCGGGACAGAGCCAGAGACCCCGGGCCGGGTGCTACGGTGATGCAGAGACCTCAGGGCACCCAGATGGAGCCGTGACCAGGGGGCAGACTACGGGCGCCAGGGACCTGGCCGCCACCTGAGGTCATCCATGGCAGTGTCTCCTCCACCATGTAGGTGGGGCAGGGACGGCCCGAGCACAGATGTCATCCAGACTGTCCAGCTGCAGTGGAGTGAGATAAACTGGGGCCTCTTCCCACAATGGATCCTCTCTGGCATAACAACCACAGGACAGTTGGCTGACGCAGCAGCACCGAGACTGGGCGTGAAGGCTCCTGGAGGAGCGGGTACACCACATGGGGCTGTGCTCGAGGCCTTCAGGACCTTGGCGAAGGGGGTCCCAGGACAAGGCCTGGATGGGAGTTGCTCGGAGGGGCCACTGGACCTGAGATACTGGCGCGTGTGCACGGCGCTGTGCACAGTAACCGGCAAATGCACGCGAGGGGCTGGGGCAGCCTTTGCGGTCCACGCAGGTCACCCAGCGGCGATGACTGGAGTCTGGCGCTCCGTCAGCATTAGGGACCTCCTGAGGTCCCAGACCTCGTGCTGGTGCAGTTCAGAGGTTGTGTGCTCACCATCTTTCTCTGTGGATGCCACAGGTCCTGGTGGGTGGGCTCTGGGAGGCCCCATCTGGCTGCGTCTGTTTCTGCCCTGAGAGGGAGGTGGTGCCCGCCCTGGGGTGCTGGCTCTGTCACCAGGGAAGCCGGCCATGGGCTCCTGAGCCGGCAGGGTCTCAGCTGACAAAGCTGGGGCCAGGGCCGCATTGGGGTCCCAGCACGGGCGAGGGGTGCAGGAGGTGGCTGAGTCCGGTGGTGGGGTGTGACACGCCTCCCCGTCCCCTTCTGGCCAGGGGTCCCTGCTGCACCGTCATGGGGGGCGGGGGAAGGGGGCTCCAGG